TTTTTTTTTTTTTTTTGCATCAAATGAGGTCTTTTCATAAAGAATGAAAAAAAAATCTTTTGCCACTGATTTAATAACAGTGCCGAGAAATATAATAAGTAAGAGAAATAAAAGTTAGAAATTGAATGGAATAAAAACAAAATTAAAATTAAAAAGATTATATTGACGAGACTATACCAATACAAAGGAAAATTCTAGGCGTCTTGTTCTTTTCCACGATCTTACAATGGCGCTTAATAAGAAAGGCTGATTATAAAGTCTTAAGTGAATTCCAGCATGAAAATAAATGAAAATAAAATTTGATAAAAAGTTTAGAATAAAACTAAAACAAAAGAACAGAAAACTGTTGAACACAATCTCCAAGGACAGGTTCATAAACGCTTACCTTTGCATACTGTAAAACTTACTCTTTTCCACAATCTTATCTTACTCGTAAGAGCTTATATTTACACACTATAAAACTCTTTTTTTTTACAGTCTTGTCTTACTTGTAACTAGCCGACTAACTTGATTAATTCGCAGTCACTTACTGAAAACGTTCCACCGAATCTCCCCCAAAACCTAGCCTCTGTAAATCTCGATCTCATGGTATCAATTATGGTGTCTTCGTTCGTTCGTGATAAGGGAACTGTCGCTGTTTTTAAATCCAGAAAAAAATTTGTATTCCTCGCGTCATATCTACCACTTAGCCTTATCGCCACAGTCATGCTAGAATCACATCCCCAATAAAAAAAGTTACAGTATACAGAGGTAAAGTAAGGTAATATTTCTGACTGTTGTCATTCTAGGGAATGATCTATATTTACTCCTACTTGAGCGAAACCTATATTCCTGTCTCGTAGAACAGCAGTTATCATACAAGTAAACAGCAGTAAGTTCTACATTAAGCCTCGACTTTAAGAAGCTGACTTTAAAAAGCTTCATTAATCTCTACTTTGCAAAGGCTTACCCTCAACCCCACTTGCTCGGCTGCGGCCCTACCTTGAAAAGTGCCCTTCCCTGTGCTTTTACTTTTCCAGAAATGAACCTGATAGACACAGCTAAGTTTGAACGTAGGTCGTCGTCTTTATAAGTTGCTATCCAATCACATCACTGTGATTCTGGTTCCGCTGCGAAAAAATATCTTGCCGAAGCGGTGCTCTGTTAAGATGAGTGGCAATAACGTTTACTTAGTGCTTCTTGAAAGCACATACAGCGTCTCCAATCCTAGAATACTCGATTGCTGGTTGTTAGATCATCTGAAAAATCACGAAATTTTTTTAAAACAAGAACCCCAAACATTAAAAAACTGTTCAGAGTTATTTCCATACGAAGCCTAATTTCAAAAGA